AGAAGCAAGTAAACTCGAAGCATCCCTAGAGCCCACCTTCGCCGGCCACACACTTGTCAGCACCGCTTCCTGCAGCCCAGCAAGGCTTCAACCGTTGAGGGGTCCAGAAGGGTGCGGGATTGAGGTTTTAGGGTTCAGGGCTTAGGGTGTGGGACTTAGGGCTTACGGTTTGGGTTGGGATCTAGGGTTTGGGGTGAAGGGCTCAGGCTCTGGGATTTAGAGTTTAGGGTTCAGGGTTTAGGCTTGAAGCACGTACACAGCAGCACAGCTGGAATGCAAAATCCCTAATCCACTTTCAAAACGTTATAACCCAATCTCTACTCTGAGCTTAAGGGTTTAGGGTCTAGGGTGGGCAAGTTTGATTGTGACTAGTCCTACTTTAGTTCCATCAAATTCCCATGAACCCTTGCTGTCTAAACCAAGCCTAAAGGTTTAGACAGTGACCCTAATGCTTCACATACAGCTCAGGATTTAGGGTTTACGGGCTTAGGTTTTAGACTTTAAACACCATGAGTCAAGAATTGCTTATGGATTCTCCCCAAAACAAAAGTACTAAAGGCATTTCAGGACAAGGCTAATTGGGGGGAACCGAGGGGGGCGTGGTACTCTCGGGGCCGGTTAGGAGAACCCATAAACGGCAACTTCACTTGGGAACGCAGGCCGACGGATGTAGTTCCCTCCCCCTAATAGCCTGAAAACCCCAAAAGCGTGAACCCTAAAACCCTAACAACCTAAAGCCCTGACCTCCTAAAAAGACACTAACATCCAAAAAAACCTCAAATCCCAAAACCTAAAAACCCTAAACACCCCCCAACAACCCTTCGCTCTCCAACCCGCAGAAGGTAGGCCTGCGCTGGCCAAGCTGGACGGCCGCTTTCCTGACGGCTCGGGCAGTGAGGTTTCGCAGGGGTTTAGGGCCTGGGGCTAGGGAATCATTACCCTTATTACCAGTATTACCAGGGTTGCCATTATTCCCAGCGTTAGTACCATTACGAGCATTACCATCATCAGTTGGGTAGGGGCCAGGAAGGTGGGAGGGGCTCTCGGAGTTCAGAGTTTAGGGTTTTGGGTTTGGGTTGAGATTGGAGAGTTGGGGGAAGCGTTCGGTCTTGGGGCTTTAGAGTCTGTGAGTTTGAGAGCACTTGAATGGTCTGGAAGGTTTCGCCTAAACCCTGAAGCCCGAGAGCTTGCATAGGGATGTACATGTATACATGTGTGTGTAGTTATACAGGGATTGTGGAGAGAGTATACAGGGATAATGGAAAATGGAAACTACTAGTTATTGAAGATTAGGGTCCTGCGCGTTGTAGGGCCCTAGATTCCCGCTTAATAACGCCTTACTTAGCGCTATGTGCTCTGAAATCACCCTTAAGGGGTACACGGCGGGGTTTAGGGTTTAGGGGAATCCATCACTACAGCATAACCCCTTCAAAGGACCCTACAAAGTAATGCCTATACAGCCCTGAGCTCCATCGCACCTCTGCTGGAACGGCGTTGAGGGGTTCCTGCCAGGATAGCTTTCAGGGTTTGGGGTTTAGGGGTTCGGGTTTACTGGTCGTCATCGACCACTTTTGACAACCTTGCTGACTTCTAGACAACAGAGCATGCCCCAAGCAGATTGGGTAGTTTCCATAAATGGGCAACCCCAAAATTTCCGGTAACCACCATTTCTATAAACCGCTAAAAAGTTCCAGTTTCCATTTCCTTTTCTTTACCTTTTGATTTTCCGTTATTGGATGACAATGTACCTAAACCCTAAATAACCCTCATATATCCCCCGTATAACTCTCAGACCCTGTATAACCCCTAGGGAATGAAAGCCACCATTTCAATTTTGAGGGCAACCCGGAACCCTCCACCCTAAACCCTAAACCCTAAACCTAAGAACGTAACCCGAAACCCTCCAGCCTATCAAACATCCCATGGCAGCCTGTTGAAGCGAATCCGCTAGGACACGCAAGTGGGTCCCTTTAGGGGGATTATGGGGATATATATGGTAATTTTCCTAAATTACTGTTCCCAAAATGGGGGACATGTATATAGGGCCCCGTATTATAATGGGAACCCAAATATAGGACCCCGTATTATAGGGAATTTAGGCCAATACCCATATAGGGTTGAGGGTTTAAGGTTAGGGTTTAGGGTTTAGGGGTGTCATACAGGGAGCTATGGAGGTTTAGATTTTTAGGCGTAGGGTTTAGGGATGGGGAGCGCTTTCTTTCGAAAGGACGAAATTTCAAAGAGTTTACTACAAATCAGCTATGGTCTAAAACTCTTTAAAGGGAGTTATCTAGGAATTATAAAAAGAGTCTGACTCATAGGGGTTAGTAGCCAGGATACTAGGAGGTGAGACTGTGGCTCAAGAGACACCTGAAGTTGGGATCCTTGAGAAGTCGTAAGCTTGGTTGGGTTTAGGGTTTAGGGTTTAGGGTTTACAGCTTGAGGGCCTGTAGGGACAAAGCTCTACCTGTAACCCACTAGCTGTTGGTTTGGGTTATATAGGGGTAATATAAGGATAGTGGAAAAGAAGATGGAAACTACATAAACTTAGGGCTTACCTGTAACCCCAGTTACCTACGGTTTGATAGGAATTAGTAGGTATAATCCATAAAACAGTAGGTAATTGGGGTCACAGGTAGCCTTTAAGGTAATGAGCTCAGGGTTTAACAACAACCCCAAACCCTCAACCGCCTTGACCTCCATCGGCAGTGAGCTTGTCTGTGCCACTTCCTGGCATAGGGCTGCTTCTCGCCAACATGACATAAAGATTGCATACTACTACAGGAAACTAAACTGAAAACCCTCGCAACACACTGTGGGGAAAACTATCGTGTCCTGACTAACCCTTAAATACAGTGCTTCCCTGTTCTCTCAGCACTTTACACAAACTCCTTAGACGTTGGATTACTCTCTGCAGCTGACACGGGCCAAAACACACGACCTGCATACTCCTCTCTATGACTAAACCTTTTATACCCTAATCTACCCCGGCTCTTGTACACTGCATGTGTTAGATTATTTTCCCCTTCCGCTATCTGCTGTCAAAGTGGCACTATTAAGGGGCTACTTTCATACGTTTTGTGGTAGCTGTTACAGCAAGGGGGATCAGCCTTTGCACTTGCACGCTTAGGCTGTACCCCTTCAGGAAACCCTAAATGGTCAAACCTCACTCACGTCCTGCCAGTTTTCCCAATTCGGGCCTGCCGTTTATTGTACTGTAGGGGCCTGCATAACTACCCAAAGGTGCAGAAGGTAATGACAAATCAAAAGAAGATGAAAAACGGAAATTAAGTTGATAGAGGCGTTCATAGGGATTGAATGTAGGGACCAAAATAATAATTAGAACAGGGTGTTGGATACCTTCCTCTTGAGGTACTGAGGAATGATATTGGTAATTCTTCAGGCTTCTACATATTCCCGGGCCCCAAAAGGACTTTCAACCAGGTTGCGAGCCACACGGTTCAAACTTCAGTGTCTGGGGCTGAGGGGTTCGGCGACATAGTAGGGTGTAGGGCTAATGGGACAAAGGGAACTACTATATTATAATAGGGTATATATAGGGGTTATCCAAGCATAATGGAAAAAACATGGAATTTACTGTTTAGGGTTTAGACCTTTAGATGTCTTGTAAGTGCCTGGACTTGCAGTAGTAGCCATGTAAGCGTACCTACTCATCCGTTGCTCAAAGTCCTACCTCATCCATTCACCCACTCATCCTTCCCCCCCCCCACATCCTAAAACCTAAACCATTGATAGTGGTACAAAGCAGGCTGCGAGTGGTGGCACGTGCAGGAGCATAAGAGAACATGGTCTTGTAATAGTCTCGATACATCCCTACAGTCCCTGGAGAACCCCTGGCTTTGAGAAACCCTATACTAAGCCCTACACTCCCGGAAACTAACATGGAAACCCAAAAAGGGCCCTATAAAGACTACAGTCCTTCTAAAAAGGGGGTTATATGGGTTTCCATGTTAGTTTGGGGGAGTGTAAGTGACTGAGCTCGCCCAGGAAACTTCACCCCACCCATTCCACTGGCTTCAAACGAAGCATCCTCATAGCTACGCCACAAAGTCCCACACTGAAACACCAACAGCAGAAGGGAAGTACAGCGGAAGCTACTCTGTTTAACATCCATCCCCTCATTACCATAAACCTATGGCCGCCGTGAAAGCCTGAAGAAAAGAAGTTTGATGGGCCCCTAAAGAAAACCCTGCACCCTAAAGCCTAAACCCTATAATTATGTATTCCCTTATTCCCTACTAACCCTGAACCTTGAACTCTAGATATATTCCCTTATTGTCTACTGAGTCGCGTTTTTTTGGTGGTTGAACCTAGAAGATAATGTTCCTTATATAAAATACTATACCCCAAAAGGAGGATATAATCTTACTCTATATTGGGTACCATAGTATCCCCAAATAAAATGCTACTCTACTAACCCTAAGCCCTAAACCCTAAACCCTAAACCCTAAACCCAGCATGAGACATGGCGGAGCTGATACAACTTGAGGTCTCCTTCCCTCTGCCCTCATTCTCGTTGGTCTAGGGTGGAGGGGTTAAGTTACTGGGGGCTAGGAGGGAATAAGGGAATATATTATAGGTTTGAATGTTTAGGGTTTAGGGTTAAAGGTTTAGGCTTTGGGGTTAGTAGAGAACAAGGAGGGGATCTATTATATGGGGTTATGTAGGGATTGTATTGGCTTCTTCCCTGCTGAACACCAGTAAGTTCAGTTCTTGGTGCTATGCAGAAAACCTCGTCAAAACATAACTACAGGACAGCAAGCCGAACAAAGAATCGCTGACACAGTCAGGCTCTTTTTCTGCGTCAGGTGAACCTTCATTCAGGCAAGATCAGTTGTGCGATGCCTTTTTGCGACCGAAACATTTCAGATTGTGTTCTTCTTACCAAACACTAGAACCGGCAGGAGAATGTGGCCGCTTTGGTATGCCAAAATCTGGAACCTTCCCCTAAACCCTACTATCCCTGTTTCAACTACCACTCATGCGTACGTGACACATTCGCCCTGATCAGACGTGAGCTCACCAACATCTCTGGCCGTGCAAGACAGACCTGGTCCAACGCTGTCAGTTCAAGGTTTAGGGACTGAGGCTGCGGAAAAAAAAATCCAACGCAGGTATTCGGATATTCATCTTACGACATATGCTATCTTCGGGTACGAACTGCAATTCAAAGAAGCACAACCTTTTCCTAAATTCAGCCAAGGACCGTATGGAAGATTGCCCTTCTCATCTTGCTTCTTGATGAACGTTTTAACCTGGTCCGCAGAAAGCTCTTTCCCCTGCCCATCGCGTCCGCCCACGATGTCGTACCCTTTTGGGGACAACTTCCTGATGTCCTTACTGTCTCTCCTGCGACGCCTGCCTTCATCAATTGACGTCTTTGCCATGCCAATAAAGAAGCACGACTCTGCGTGACTGCCGACATGCACCCGACACCGTGTGCTTTTCGGCACCGGACGCTTTTCTGAGGAACACATTGAAATATCGTGCTTGTGGAAGCCGTGTTCTCTGCGGTACTGTCCATACTCCATACCGTAGTCTTCGTTCCACTCAAGCTTGCAACAGTAGCCTTTGGGCTCCTTCCCCTCTCCTAAACTGAGTACACTTGGGCTGGCTGCTCAAAACTAACTTGGCGACAAATTTTGACAAAGAGAAAGGTACACCCAAATCCTGAAGCCTAAGGCTAGAACCCTAAACCGCTTTCAAACCTCGAAGCTGTAATACTAAAGCCTCGAACCCAATGTTCTACATCCCAAGACCTAAACCCAAAACCGAACTCTGAGACCTAAATCCCGAACCCTAAGTCCTAAACCCCCATATAAGCCGAATATACCTCTTTTGTAACACTTCAATAACCCCAAATAGAACCTGGAAACCTCGATCCTTAGCCACGTTAAAACCCTAAACCCTAAACCCTAAAACCCTAAAACCCTAAAACCCTAAAACCCTAAAACCCTAAAACCCTTACGAAGTCAGCTGAGCCTCTGAGATGGAACCAGTTGTACCAATCAGACGACTCCAGCCACAGCCGCTCACCGGCCTACTGGGTTGCATTTAAGGAACTTAAATTAGGTTGCCATAATGGGTTTAGGGTTACCATAATGGATATATATAATAAACAATAGGGTTTCCCCAATATAGTAACTTAAATTAAGTTCCTTAACAGCAACCCAGCCTACTGACTTATTAGGTTTTAGGGCCTAGGGCTTAAGGCTTAGGATCTTGCCGTTTTGGGTTTTTTTTTTCATTTCGGGTTGTTGGGCTTAGAGTTTGCTGCTCCGGGCTTTCGGGAATGTGATGGAAGAATGGAGAATCACCGTTCAGGGTTTGGGGTTAAAGGTTTAGGCATTAAGGTTTAGGGTTATGCCCTAAAACTACTTCCATGCTCCACCGCTGTGACCCTTTTCTGTGCTACTGCAACTTCAGGTAGAAATACCTATATGCAAAATGGGAGTTCCTCGAAATAGCCGGCTTCTATTCCAAGGGCAATGCGGGGATTACAAGATTTGGATAAGGGAAACCTGAGGATTACAAGGGGGCTATGGGAGAAATACAATATGTTCGGGCACGTAAACACCAATGTACGAAGTACTGCAGGCCCCCATTACAGCTTAAGAGGCTTAATAATTACAAAATAGCATTTGGGGGGGTTGTTTTACTATAGCTTGACAATCAACGCGAGGGAATGAAATTAGTATTTCTTTCGAGTTCTGCTCTACTAACCCCTAGACCCTAAACCCTAATTTCCCCAAGCCTGGTTGTAGAGCGAGTAGTCTGGACAATCCGACACTGACGCAACCTTTGCACACCAGCCTGGGATTTGACTTTACAGGCCTAGGATTTAGGGTTTAGACCCTAAATCCTAAACCCAAGGGCCCATAAGATTTAGGGTTTGGGGTTGAGGATTGGGGGTGTAGGGTTTAAGGTTGGAGTTGTAGTATATTAGGGGTTATATAGGGGTTATGCAGGGATAATGGGAAATTGAAACTATTACTTATGGTTTAGGGCTTATGCATTTGTAGTTTGGGAGTTGGGACTTCGTACCGACATTTGGTTAATGATGCGGGGCCATCAGGGCAATATGAAATTCCTTCCACAGAACTTTTTACACGGAGTCGAAGGGAGTTATAATTAAAGATATACGGGGTTTATGTAGGGCTGCGCCTTCCTTCAAATTATCAGGGTGCGAAACGGGCTAGGGCAGGGGAAAGGGGGGTGGGGGATAGACACAGGGAAAAGAACAACATACTTCGTCGACACCTGTATAGGACCTGTCGGCACCAATTCACTAAATCCTGAACCCTAAACTTTCAACCATAAACTGCGAATATTGCCGATCTGCAGGAACATTTCAGGACCTAGCAGCAGTCGTAGTACCTCCCAGGAAAATCACCTGAGGCAACCTCCTGCTGTGATTCCTGACGCAAGGCCACCGCAGTCACCGCGAAGACGGCCAAGATGTAAAGGACCTTTTTGATATTTAGAAGTAAAGTCAGGGCAGCTGGTGGGCCCCTTCAAAGGATTGACGTGGAAACATGGGGCAGAGGATTTAGAATGTGTGGGGGTCAGCGTTTGGGGATCAGGGTTTGGGGGGTGGCCTTGCGAGAACTAGCGGTAAAGGGATATATAAGGAGCATCAGGAGAGCATGGGGTTCCCCTTTGGAAATGCTACGGATTCTTTTGACAAACTCCGGTCTATTTGTTCGTTTGAAGGAAAGAACCCCTTATATGCCACTGCACGTTGTAGGCTCCTCATTATACGGAGCAAACTCAGACCAATGATCGCGAGATTCCCGAGAGGCGTTCAGACCGGTAGGAGGGCTCTCTACAGAGTGTTCTGGAAATCATGACCCCCCCCCACCCTGTAATAGTGACTATAAGGGATAATACGGATTGTATTAAAGTCCTATTGTACTCCTATTATGCCGCTATTATATAATCCCTTAACCCTGATGATGGTCAATGATCAACTTTCTCAAAGTGACCTTTGCTGCGACTGGAGCCATGGATCTGCGTTCACAAACACTGAGCTGGCTGAGAAAGCAACGGCTTGGCCAGGAAACATGTCTGGAGTGACAGGAAGTATTTTTCTATTATTACTAGTATTACCATTACCACGATTGCTATTACTATTACTACTGTTATTACTGTTACTACTAGTATTACCATCATTACTATTCTTACTACTATTATCATTTGGGCTTGGGGCTTCAGGTAGTTATTGAGGCTGGATGACAATCCCGTGTGCTAGGCTTCAGGGTACTCATTCGCCTTCACTCCCAAAAAACCACAGTCGACAATGCAAAATGGGCTTGCCTTCACGCTCAGATAACAAGCTTTGTTTGCAGAAGTTCCCTCAACCATAAACCCTACAGTCTACACTTAAAGGCTTCACTGGAGTAACCCTGCCATCCTTAGACCCTAAACCCGAAACCCTTCAGGACTTGAAACTGGTTGCAAGGGATCGGCCTGGGAGGGGCTATGTTTAGCAGATGCTGCTGGCGCAGGGGGGGTCCATGAATTAGGGGTCCCTTCTTGGGCATCCTCATATATGGAGTGTCATAGTAGTTTGGGGTCTAAATTGGGGTTCCCAATTGATGGAACCCCAAACTACCATATGTGGATTGTCAGAATGGTGGTCCACTTTTGGACACCCTACATATCAGGGGCCGTAGTAAAATAGGAACCCGAATGGAAACCAGGCCTTTGACAACCTACCATATGTTTAGGAGTCAGCTCACGATGCTTTAAGCTTGTGCCAAACCTTCTTGTCCTGTATTTCCTGGGGCTAGTGTTCAAAGAAACTTGTGAAAATCAAAAGCACTGTCTCACAACATTCCTTTCCCGAGGGTGTAGGTGTAGGGTTTAGAGATCAGGGTTTATGGTTTTGGGATGAGTGTCTAGCGTTTAGGACTCCAAGATCCTCTTGCTGGGGATACGCAGGGAATGAGGGAATAATCCGTACAGCATTCCTGTATAATATAATCCCTTATTCCCTACTAACCCCAAGTAAGTTGGGGTTCAGGGGTAAGCCCGACCCTAAATCCTTGAACCCTAGACCTTGAAACCGAAACCCTCAAACCCAAACCCTCAACCCCTAAACCCTCAACCCCTACATCCTATAAACCCTAGACTCCAAACACTCGACCCCTAAGCCCTCAACCCTAAACCCCTAAACCCTCAACCCTAAGCCCCTAGACATTGGATAATCCTCTTTAGCTGGATCGTGCCAAGACTCACGACACGTGCACCCCACAAATCAACCCATAGACTCCGTAAAATGCCCTCATCTGCACGTAAACCCCATTGATCTCCGATTCCCTGCACACCTACACCCTAAACAATTTCTATGGCTCTATGTGGAGGATATCAGTTTGGAGCCTAAGGATAAGCCTGACATTACCTTGCTTTCGACCCTAGATATACCCAGGGTCCTTTAGGGAAACCCTCATCCCAACCCCAATCCTGTGTTCTAGGTAACTTTGCTCTACCCGTTCAAAGCTCTCCCACTAGTGCAAGTGCCGCATCGTCCACGCGAAAGCCATACAAGTACGAAAACTGTAACACTGACAACATGAGGAAATACATGGGAAGCCTCCGCTGGTTACCATAGACCTAAACCCTAAACCGTAAGCCCTGAACCCTAAACCTGAAACCCTGAAAATATGAGCCATAGTCTAAACTCCTGGTATCCCCCTTAATAAGCCCTGTAGTAATTCCCATATACAATTCCCTATATAACCCCCCTTTAAGGAGTTTAGACTATAGTACATATGGTACTCTAGCTGGTTGAGTAGCAATAAAGATGGTAGCGCAGACAGGACTTGAGGTCTCCTTAAGGGGACCTCTACCCACATTGGGTTTAGGTTTTAGGGTTTAGTGTGAAACCAGAAGTGAG